CTCTTTGGGGTGGCTCCAGCAGAAGCTTCCCTCAGTGAGCATCAGAGGACGGTGTTAGCCTTCTGCTCTCTACTGGCTAGAAGACTTATTCTTCTTCGATGGAAGGATCCACATCCTCCAGTATAAGGTCATTGGTTAAGAGAAGTTATGTCTTACATTCATTTAGAGAAGATTAGATATACTGTTAGGGGATCTGTAAACAATTTTTTGACATCTGGCAGCCATTTATATCTTATGTAGAAAAAAGTTTGGCAGATAATTTTGTGTAAAGGTCAAATATTGGTTCTTTATCATACACTGTGCACTGTTTTGACTTATGTATGAATACATGATGGATTCATGTTACGTAGTAGATCCGGTATAGGTGGGGAGAGATGGGAGGGATTTTGGGTGTGTGTGTTTTGTTTTGTGTTTTTGAAAGTCTGTTCTTTTTTGTGGTTTATGTTGAAAAAATTATTAATAAAAAGACCTTGATCAAAAAAATGTTTCAAAACAACCTTTATCATTCTTCTTGATTTAGGCTTTGAATCACATTCCACTAAGCGATCCCAGAAAGCGGCTGAGCTGTTTTAAAGCTGAAAACAGCTACCGTCCGGGAAGCCAACTTATCAGACTCCATACCCTCAGACACTTTTTCACGGCTTTCAGCGCCATATTTGTTTACCATGGCCGTCACTTGAAATGACTTCTAGCCTACAATTGTCTCCTCAATAGAAACAAGACGGAAAATTACATTTTCCCTCAGCAGTTTAAGCATTTTAAACTACCTACACTCACGTAAGATGAACACTGTCCTCTTGGCTACATTAAAACAGAAAGCTAAGCTCCCCATTTTTAACTCGACATGGAATGAATTGCTCCCACATTTACCTCGGCTAGTGTCAATACAGTCGCAGAAAACCAGACCAGCGTCTGACAATTATAATTTCAATGTATGTGGGCCGAAAAATTAGCCGTAGCTCTTTAGCATAAGGTGCTAATGAAAATATTAGCTCACTGTGTTTCTGCCACAGACAGGTTCTTTTTTCAGCTCCAGTCCCAAAAGGTTACCCACAGCGGCCGAATTAAGGACAGATCACAAAACCCGGACACAATCAGCAGAGAAAGACAGGTCAGCTTTGTCAGCCTCCATTTTCCGGTGGATCTCCGAGGAAAACAGTCGACTGCTGCGGGCAATCTTCCGGTCCTCGTAGCTGCCTCTCGACAACGCCAAATTCTGTCGTGGAAATGATTTACCAAGAATGCAGAAACACGTTGGAATAAATGCACAGAAAGTCTGTGTGTATGGTCATCAAAAATGATTTAATTCTGAGCAACAACCCAGCAGCAGTCAATCAAGAAATGGGCTGAGTTGTGACTGACGCGTCAGCGGAAAGCAGCCAATAATATACACCATGATAACATCATTTGACGTGCTTATAACCAATCACAGATCACCAACTTTAACTGCCCAGCCAATAACAGGGTGCTTAGCCCAAAGAGTTACCTACTCAGACAAGAGAGGTTAGTCCATTGCCGGAGTCCTGACGTCTGGCAAACAGACTGACATTGATCATAAGATATATGAGTACTGGACAGCGTCAAGGTGAAACAGATAGATAATTAGTCCATAACAACATCATTATACTAGAGATCTTCAATGTGTTTTTAGATATAATGTATGATTTGTTTTCCTGTGTGACTCCTCCCCCAGTTTACCCACAAGAACACTGATGGGTCTTGGAGAGGAAAAAATGTCTCCCCCTTGGTTTGGAGGTGATGGACCAGATTTACAGCCACCTGGGGTGGCCTGTGTGGCCGTGTCCGGCGTGTCTCCTCCAGGAGACAGGGGCGGGAGCCTTTAGCTCGGCCTCCAGCTACCTTCCTTCCAGTGGTCGCTCCCTTCTTGAACCCCGGCCTCTGGATCAGCGTAGTATCTCAGGACGCCTCCAGCTGCCGGTCACCACTGTTCCTGGTAGCCGCTCCCTCTTAGGATGTGCACTTCTTACTTTGACCAAGATGATGTTTAGTGACCTGTACAGCAGGTCTCAAGGGAACTGTTAAAGGGAGTTATCCTATCTCCCCAGGCTAATAACCATTAAAAATGAACTTATTATAAATTTTTGACCTCATATCATTATCTCTTGGCCTCAAAGTAATCACACTCATTAATATGTTAACACCTTGTTGCTTAGAAGTAACAACACTCTCAGGCAATCAGAGAAAAAAGCTTTAAAAACCAATGTCCAGGCATCTTTATGATGCTGTAGGCAGTTTMAAAGGAATTTGCAAGAAAAGCCACATTTGATTATACAGATTAAAAATATTGAATAATAATTGATGGTGATAAAAATAAAAAGCTCTAAGGCACTGACCTAACTTTATGACTAGGTTGTGTGGCATTTTCTGTTAATTTGGGATGGCRGGACAGGTTGGAGCAGTGTTGGCATTACCTCCATGAAAAGCATCAGATTGTTGCCTAAAAAAAGACTTCTCAGAGTTGGGCTGGTTTAATCTGGTCTTCGGTCCGTAGATCGCTGGAGAGAAGTGTGTCAGCGTGTCCCAGATGAGATGTCTTCTTGGATCTGCTTGCTCCTCTTCTTGGGCTGTCCTCACCTTCTTGCTGCCCCTTCTCCAGTCGGGGCCAGAAGACGAGTTCACAGCTGAAACTGCTCCTTTTTTATACTGTTTTTGGGYCCGCTTACCCACCTCCTTACTATTCTGTGGTAAGATTGGGAATTTCCACCACGGGCTTTTCTGTACTTCCCAGAGTGAAGTAATCTGGCTGATTCTGGTAATAGGAGTGTCAGGCACTTTTTGTGGCGAGTCAATACCACTTTGTTTTTCACCACAGGGCCTCTGGTACATTCTAGACAAAACCACACTTCTGCTTTTTTTGGCTGCTTCTGTTTTGCAGAATCACAGTCTGTACTTTTCATCATCCAAAATAGTACACACACGCTTCCTTCATTTTAAGACACACAATAACACTTCTTTCTAAATCACCATCTTACATTAAAAACACATTGATTATCACAGTACATTAGTTAAATCATACTATGCAATTAAGCATATAATTATTAATCATGTTATTTATTTGCCAGCATTAGAATTGATTAAATTTAATAATTATCACTCCTGCTCTCTCTTCTTCTTGATCTTCCTCTTCCTCTGGCATGCATCTCGGTCCCTCTTGTGGCTCCTCTTCCTGTCCCGTCCTCCTCTCTGTTGAGAGTCSAAAGGAGGCTCTGCTGGTCTGATTCCAATTCTCGGGACGGACGGTGTAGCCAGGTTCCTTGACACCCTCTCCTTGGAATCAGGCCTAGGAGCCCGAGAAAGAAGAGCAGGGGGAATCAGTGGTTGGATCTTGGCTGGGACATACGGTGGATAATGGGGATGAGGCGCAGGGGGTCCTGGCCGAGTGAAGGGGGTGTGGGTCTTGGGAGGCCCCATCTTGTTTGGTCGGTATCTTTTGTCATACCCCTCGGCATTAGGCTGATGCCAGGTTTTTACCGCCCTGTCCACCACGGCTCCATATGAGGTCCTGCCAGTGCTGGACTCTCTCCRCTGGTGAGAGGTGGAGGGGGCAGGTGGGGAGCGTTTTCCAACGCTCTCTTCTGCAACTGACGGGCCCAAGTGTGCCTCGATAGAGGAAGAGGGGTGGCTTTCTTCCACACGCCGATGATGGGGGTGTCTGTAGTACCCGACAAAGGGGGGCGTGGAGCTGCCAGCTCCACATCAACATCAGATGGACCAGGGGAAAGGGTCAGCAGGTCAGTAGGGGCCTGGTGGGAGGGGAGAGCTGCATTGTTTGCAGCAGATGTATCTGCCACCGGCTGAGACCGTGTAGGTGAGAGATCCGGCATGGATGGGCTGTACCTTGGAGAGGGTGGATCCAAAATGATAGTCTCCTGGGCTGGTACAGGGCCGTTACGCAGCATATCCTTAGACTCATCATTCARCCAGGCAATAAGGTTGGAGTCATGGAGGGTATCTTGCAGTGATGACATGTCCTGAGGAGCAGGATCAGTCATGGAATCAGGGGATGGGCCTGGCAGGATGTGCTGGCGTGGTGGATCGGCCACAGCCTGTTGCACGGTACTCACTTCTTCAGCAGKTTGGCTGATGTGTAGATCCACTAAAGCATAATCAGGGGTATGAAGGCTGATATACTTGCGGTTAGTGGAGAGAGATTTCCAGGTCTTCTGGATGAGGGGGATGGTACATGCCTGGTGAATATTGACAGGTACAAAGGGTTCAGGAAGGTTCGGGTTCTGCAGAGTACAGTGGACCTCAATGTGTTTTTAGATAAAATGTATAATTCAAATATACTAGTAATTTACTGCTGTCGATCATTTTTGTATGTTCAAAAGCCCTGACTTATACAATACCTTGCTGGTTCTTCATAATCCTAAAGTGCCCAAAGCTCACAGATTGTGTCTGTTTAGAAAGAAAACTGTGACAGAAATAAAAAGGTCTGTAATAATTATGTTAAAAACACATCACTGTCAACAAATAAAACTAGTAGTTTTACTTGCTGCGTGGGGACCTGTGGCTGTGATGTTGTGTGTTGCTGAGGGTTGCAATGCAATGTTGGCTGAGTGCAATGCATGATTTCTTAAATATTATCTTTACATCACAGTTAAATAATACTAATAATATGTGTATCAAATGATGCTGAGGGTGCATTCTGAACTATCATGTCTCATTTTAACTAATGTAGTCTACATCATTCCTGCCACGATACAACCAAAACACTACTTTGACTATTGGAGCAAACTAATCAGTTAACATCCATCATAAAATTTACTGACATTTAATACAAAAATTAAATAAATCTTTATTCAACTTGTTACTAAGTTAAAATAGAGAAAGGTAATTCCATGCTGTAAAACATATGACTGGTAGGCCAGCCTGGCACTGGGGTAGACGATGCTGTCATACATCTGCTACATCATCCTCTCTCTCACCTGAACACCAGCAGGAGACTGTAAGGATAATGTTTTTTTTTAATCTCCAGCGCCTTCAACACAACCTGACCTGCAGTCCTGAGGGACAAGCTGGAGTCTATCTGTGTGGACCATCACCTGGCATCGTGGATTTTGGACTACCTCACAAGCAGACCACAGTATGTGAGAACTCAGGGCTGTGTGTCGGACAGGATCATCTGCAGTCCAGGGGCCCCACAAGGAACGGTCCTGGAATCATTCCTCTTCACCGGCTACACTTCAGACTTTTCATACAACTCCACCAACTTTTCCCTACAAAAGTTCTCGGATGACTCCACAACTGTCGGCCTCATCACTGCTGGTGACGAYAGGGAGTACCGAGAACTGGCTGAGGACTTTGTGGACTGGTGCAAGCTGAACCACCTCCACAGCAATACTGGAAAAACAAAGGAGCTGGTGGTTGACTCCTGCAGGCGGAAACACCCTCCTTTAGGACCACTAACCATCAACGGTATGGACATTGAGGCTGTGGACAACTACAAATATCTTAGGATACATCTGAACAATAAACTGGACTAATAATAACACTAATGTGATCAACAAAAAATGACAGAGCAGGCTGTACCTGCTGAGGAGGCTCAGGTCTTTTAGGGTGCGGGGGCCACTCCTTAGGACTTTTCATGACTCTGTGGTGACATCAGCCATCATTTTTGGGTGTGGTCTGCTGGGGCAGCAGCATCACTGCTGCAGACAGGACGAGACTGAAGAGGGCTGGCTCTGTCCTGGGATGCCCTCTTGACCCTGTGGAGGTGGTAACGAACAGGAGAACGGTGGCTAAGTTGTCATCCCTGTTGAACAACATCTCCCACCCCATGATGGGGACTCTGACAACACTGAGCTGCTCCTTCAGTGGCAGGCTGCTGCATCCACCATGTGGGAAGGAGAGATTCAGAAGGGCCTTCCTTCCAACTGCTGTGAGACTCTATAACAGAGCCCATGCAGCTGATCACTCAGACATAAACAACATGTTCCGAGTGAACTTCTCAGGTTTATGTGCAATATAGTTTTGTGAAGTGCAATTGTTATGACATGTACATGTGTGTAAAGATATGTATGTATGTGCATGTACAGTGGGTAAAATAAATATTGAACAAGTCAACATTTTTCTCAGTAAATATATTACTAGAGGTGCTAATGACATGAAATTTTCACCAGATGTCGTTAAC